TACTACTAAACTACTTATTTACATAGTACCCACCGAAGAATACAACATCAAACCATTAGGTATTATCCAATTACATTCTTTATTACCTGCATACGTACCTGGGTATATTACTTACCATAAGGAAGTTATACAATGTATTAACTATTAGAAAATCTATTTTACAAGTACTTTATAAAAACGTACTAAACGTAAATGTATTTAGTGTCAGGTCCTCCTTCCACTGCAAAAGTTTAATGAGCGGGTTTTTTTTTAATATTTAATAGACACACGCTTGGCCACAATCTCACATGATGTTAAGCGACGATGTGACCGATGATGGGACGCATTTGCCTAAAAAAATGCCTATTCACTCTAGCCTTGAATAGTCCCAAATTTTTCCATTCCTTTGCCGTACGCTTCAGAAAGAGCAAAGCGCTTAGTGCGAATAGGTGGAATATCAACGACATAAAAATGGAGTGCTCCGGACCTTCTAGTCGACCGAAGGAGGAACGGTGAGGGTGGAACTAAATTGAAAAATTAGGATATAGCCGAGCGCAGTGAATTAAAATAGTTTTGTCCTTCCAATTAGGACAGTGAAAAGAGGTATTTGCTTTCCATAGCCAACAGGCTAAGCGGGAAATGAGATGAGTCAGTCGTTTGCTTTCTATAGCGAGCGGGTTTTGCGGAGTGAGCTAGGCGGCGGAACACTAAAAAATCTGTTTCTCTTTGTGTCGATATCATCAATATCGTGATCACAATCCGGCTGAACACGAGGTAGCCGTATTAGAAAACAGCGGCGTATTGCAAACTGGCTAGCCGTAATGTAGTTCGGCGCTTTATAAAATACGGCTGCAACGTATACGTATAGACAATAATATATGATAATAAGATTACTTATATATTCCGGCTACTTTCAGACTTGAACCATCCATCTTTTCTTGAAAACTCCTTTATACTGGATAATGAACTTATGACGCTATTGAGTATTTTCTATTTTATAATAATTAGTATATTTTATTATATTATGACTTTTATTATCAATTTTCCTTAGTAGGCTCCCATTCCCCCACGCTCCCCTACTTTGTTTGACGTTTGCTTGTCTCAAATTTCCAGGTCCAGGAGTAACAAAGAACGCGACGATTACCACCAGCTCATTGCCACTTCTTCAAGTGGTGCTTCATGAATGGCGGAATGGCGAGGTGTACCGCAAGAGTATGCCAGTCGCGACTGCCAACAGGATGGTGGCCAAGGAGAAACATGTTGGTAAGTTTTATAGGAGTAGAGCTCCTTGTGAAAGAATTCGTCCAGGGAAGTACTGCCACTTTACCCATTTCTGTCACCAACAGTAATGTTATTGCGTCCCAAACTAGGGGATTAATGACTTATGAGGTCGGTTTTTTTGTATACTGTACTGAGATTATTAAGAAGTGCTGGTGATTGTACAGGCACATGGGACTTGTCACATTTGTCAGTTTGACAACCCCGTTGGCCCAGCTCGATTCTCCGGTAGGAACAATTTGGGACTTTTTGGGACTTTTTGGGAATGCACTTTTCGCATTCTGGGCTGGGTGTTCTGGGTTGTACCCCAGAGTGATTTATGTTATTCTGGTACTTATAGTCAGTGGCATAGCGTCGATTTCTGCGGCCCAGGGTCAATCTTAGAGCCTATGCACATGGCGTACTTTATATGCGCCGAAGACACAAGTTTGGCGCCGAATTTTAAAACGCGCGCAAACATCGCGTTGCAATCAAGAAGCTTATACTGGTGTCAAAATGCGCGATACATACTTGCGACTATATACAGCGCGTATACGCAGATGACGCGCGTTAAATCTTAAATTTGCTGCCCCCTCTATTCCCATCATTACAAAAGTAGTTCGACAGAGCAGGTTCGCCTCGATTGTGTTTTTGTGTTCGCCTGTGGTCGTCATTTTTGTTTTGTTCAGGACATCGTTTTTTTCAAATAGTAGAATTTATTTTCTAATTTTAAGTAAAAAATAATATTTTTGACTACTTAGGACTCGGCCGCGTCCGCCGCCGTAATTTTTTAAAATAATATCAAATGACACTACTGTTCATAACAGCTGCAGTGCCACTAAGAACTTTAAACCGCAAGTATCGAAAGGCCGCCCTTTCCATCCAGAACCGGAACGTTTGGCGGCAGAAATAGGCAAGGGAAGTACAGCTATGTACTTCCCTGGACAAACTGTTTCACAAAGAGCTATACTGCTTCTAATTATTATAACAATTTGGTTCCGTGAAGTTGCGGCTCGGAACAGTTCTGTTCTAGGTACTCATGTTGAACCATTCTGCAAGATTTTGCAGCCATGTGGTTTTTCTACGACCACGTCTTCTGCGGCCCTGGATTTTTTCCTGCAGAATGAGTTGCAGTAGACAGTAATTATCACTCCGTATGCTGTGCCTAAAGTACTGCAGATTCCTCCTTTTATTGTGGTTGTTGTAATTTGTGGTTGTCACTATTATTATTACAATAATTTTATGTCTCAGGGTGACAGGCGCAGTGGCAGAGCACCTCAGATCTTTGAGATTTAAAGCTCTGAGTGGCAAACAAATTGTCATGGGTAGCCGAATCGCTCACTACCAGAGCGCACGACTTGGTACGCGTGTACACGCTAAGAAATTGTCTATAATAATGTCTGCAACAGAAAAGATAAGAATGATCTTGTACACGACAAGAACTTTGTCGGATCTAGCCACGAAAACATATCGTGTCTGTTGCAGACGAGAAAATTATGACTATGTACACGATGCGATGCTTACGGACAGACGTGTGTAGGGTAAAATGTGTCAATGTAGCTGTCGCTATATATCGCCGAATACCGTTCTTTTTTAAAAAGTCTCTAAACTCTGAACTTGTAAACGGCGGTCCCTGATCGGATACTATTTCGGTTGGCAGCCCGAAACGAGCAAACGCGGCTCTAAGAGCCTTAATTACGAACGATGAATTTGTCCTAGGCATATCGAAAACTTCTAGCCATTTAGAACTGGAATCTATTAGAACCATAAACGTTTTGCCATTTATAGGGCCCAAGAAATCATTATGGAGTCTACTCCACGGGCGGACATCTCATGGCCAGGGCCGCGGGGGAGCGCGCGGCCGCGCAAGTGTCACACTGCCGACACACCGCCTCCACATCACTGTCCGCTCCCGGCCACCACACATAACTCCTAGCCAATGACTTGGTTTTTACAATACCCATATGACTTGCGTGGAGTTGATTTAAAACGATATTTCGCAAAGTTGTTGGAGTAATTAAACTATAACCCCTTGTTAAACCTCCTCGATCTAAATATAGTTCGTTCCGTATATTAAAATATGGCTTTAACTCCTCCTCTGTACATCTATGTGGCCAGCCAGACTGAACAATATAACGCGACTCAATTGAGAATCTTTAGAAGTAGCTAACCTTACATTATCATCAGTCACCGGCAGGAATTGTTCAACAAAATGGATATACGTAGTTTCTTTAACTACGTTACCTATGGAACCGGTTTGCGGCAGCCGTGATAACGCATCCGTACAGTTTTTATGGAATGAAACATGTTCTACGAGTATCTCGTAACTATAACCCGATAACAATACCGCCCACCTTTGTAAACGCGATGCGGCCATAGTCGGTATACCTGATTTGTTACCAAAAATATAAGTTAAGGGCTTATGATCCGTTCTTAATGTGAATTGTCGACGGCATAAGTATTGATGAAATTTCCTTATTCCATAAATGATAGCTAATGCTTTCCTATCAATCTGAGCATAGGCACGCTCCGCGGGTGCGAGCGACCGCGATGTCTCTCTTCATCAGGCGTAAGGTGCGATATGATGGCACCTACCCCGACGCTGCTCGCATCTGCCGTCAACACAAGAGGTAAATTCGGGTAGTAATGGACTAAAACCTCAATGGAGCTCAACTGCTTCTTAATATACGTAAAAGCCGTTTCACATTTCTTGATCCACCCAAACTTAACATTCGCTCTAAGCAGTTAATATAGTGGTGCTAAAATCGTATTAAAATTTTTTATGAACTTCGCGTAGTACATAACTATTCCTATAAAGGATCTAAGTTTAGATACGCTTGTCGGTGCGGGCGTATTCACAATAGCATCGACCATCTCTGAACACGTTTGAATGCCGTGTTTACTTATAATGTGCCCTAAATAATTCATAGATTCTTGAAAAATAAAACACATTTCTCCCTCTTCAGACGGAGACCGCTCGATGCTAACCGATCGAAAACTTTATGCAGATTATCGATATCTTCCCTAGTATTTGTACCAGTAATGATAACATCGTCCAAGAAAACTCCTACATGCGGTAAATCTGAGAATAGTTGTTCTAGTCGCTTTTGGAATATTCCCGGGCTGGACGATAGGCCGAACACTAATTGGTTATACATAAGTAATCCTTTATGAGTATTAATGACGGCGTATTTTTCTCTCTCATCCAGTTCGAACTGAGCGTAAGCCTGTGACAGGTCAATTTTACTGAACATTTCACCGCCATGCAAATGCGCCAACAGGTCTTCCACCCTGGGAAGCGGATAACAGTCGACCTCAATTACCTTGTTTAAGGTCATTTTAAAATCAGCGCACATCCTAATAGTACCGTCCTTTTTTACCACTGGAACAATTGGTGTAGCCCAGTCAGAGCGGTCGACGAGGGTGAGGATGTTGTCGCGTACCAGCTGCTCCAGCACGCGCTCACGACCCACGGGCCGCGAAATACAGTATACATCACAGAAACGACACGAATTCTTGCAAAGACCCAGCGACTTTTCTTAACGTGGTCAAGCGCCCTTGTTCCTGCCGTTACTTGATATCATAAAAGTAAAAGTGTCAGATTACTGTATCTGCATACAAACGAAATTAATAATATTCAGTAAACTCCATCCGTAAACTAATATCGAGGATCGTGGTTTGTTAGTTTCCCGTTAAATTTTGTAGTTTCAAAATTAGGGACTCACTACAGTCAGCGTCGTGAAATCGGCTTGTGCCAGTAGGGAGCTGCTTTATATATATGATTATTAATAAAAAGATGGCAATAACGCAATTAGTAGTCATTATACCGTTTAAATATTTTATCTTCATTCATAATCTATCGATAAAACTGTCGACATCAACTATATCACTATTTAAAATTTTTTGAAAATTGGCAACCCTGCAATAGTCATTTTACTCCGTCTTCAAGAAAGACATACTATAACAAATCCAAAAGTATACCATTGAGAAACCTGCGATTTGATATTTTTTCAACGACAGCTTCCTGTTGTCACCAATTATCATAAATATAAACGAATTTTGATTAAACATTCCTGTACTTAATCTTATTTAAATTTTGCATTTCTTTTTTATATTGTCTACTTCTCATTTAGTACTATAATTGTAAGTCAATGTTAGTACACAATACTTTTTAAATTTGTCCAAGTGTCGCCACCTACAATTTTAAATATATACTTTCTGGGTGTTTTAAATTCTACGGTGGAATCCCCGGTTAAATAATTTAGTAGTGAAACTAACTGCAAGGAGCATGTTTCTTCGTTTAGGCATAAACACTCGCAAAGATCAAGTTTTGCCAAATATTTGTTACAAATAGATCATGCTCTGACTCCCATCGGGGTGGGAATCGTTGAGTACAACCCTTGCGCGTTTGAACCTCAGATTACGTTTGAACTTACTGCATTACGACCAAATATAGATCTAAAAATTGTCAAATAGGACAACAAAACAAAATCTTATTTTCGGCATGTTTATTTTGGTTTGTAAAAAGTCATGGAGCAAAGTTGTTGTTAAGATGCTAGTGCGTATGCAGGTGAAGGCAGTCGTAATCACCGGTGTACAGTGGTACAGTTGAAGGCAGTCGCAGTTAATCGTGTACCATGGTGCAAATGAAGGCAATCGTAGGTACCGGTGTACCATGCTACAAGTGAAGGTAGTCGTAGTCAATCGTGTACCATGGTGCAGGCGAAGGCAATCGTAGTCTCCGGTGTACTGTGGTACAGGTGAAGATAGTTGTAGGCACCGGTGTATCGTGGTAAGGAGAAGGCAGTCGCTGGTACTGATGTACCATGGTGCAGGTGAAGGCAGGCATAGGCACCGGTGCACCGTGGTGGAGTAAGGTACAATCATATTATTGTTTCCTAGATGACTGCGTGTATGTGTTATAGTTGGAAAACTTATTTACACAGAATTGATACGTGCGACTTTTGCATTTGGCACGTCTGGTGATAGCTACTTCATATGTTATAGAGGTACAATGTTCCGTAATACTTACGTTGTTATTATTCATCTATTTTCAGATTTCAAGAACAAAAAGACAGTGCTGCACGCCGTGGGCTACATCGATAGCTCCATCTTTCCACACAGCCAAGCTCTGGGCACTTCTTACTCCAAACGAGGGTACAACGTCTTCATCAGCGAGACGATTTCGTTCCTCATTAATATTTATCCAAAGTAAGTAATACTCACACGCTAGGGTTTTTACGTCTTGTTGCATTTCCACATCTCTGGAAACAGCAGTTTTAAGTAGTAGTATCTTATCTATTTCTGCCGCCAAGCAGTAAGCAGCATTGTAAGGGTGCTGGTGAAATTACAGGCACAGGGGACTTGTCAACTTATGTCTCAGGATGACGGGTGTAGTGGCAGTGCCCCGCAAATCTTTGCGATTTAAAACTCTGAGTGACTCTGCAACTGTTTTGGACAGCGTGTCGCTTACCACCAGGCTCACGACTTGTTCGTCCCGTCGCTTGATGTCATAAAAAAAGGCCGCAACAAAAGCAACAATTTGATGATTACCGCGGTCCCCACACTAGGCAAGCCTGTATCGTGGGGTTCCATACAATCGATTTACTTAGCCTCTAAAACGAATAGAAAGTATTAGAAATATTTAAACAAGTAAACCTAAGACATGCTGTGTTGGATACAAAAAAATACAAAATTATTTATTTCTCCAACACAACACAACAAAGCTAAATGACGTATATTAACAATAAGGTGCTTAGATTAGTTAGTTACATTCGTGGAGACTGGAGCCTAAACTAGGTCAGCCCGCGTGTACTACAACACATCAAGTGGATAATGGAGAGTCAAGAGAGACTACACTAAACATTATATTATATTAACCTTAGAGCCAAGTCCAAACTCACACCAACTATGGTACAAGGATTTCGTTTAACCATGGCAAACGACCCTTTTATGGGGAACTGCATACGTTTTTACAATGTGATTCCGGAGCATAAAAAAAATTTTAGTTCAAATGTCATATTACAAAATTGAAGACTATGTGATTCCAGGTTCCACACAAAATAGATTCAAAGTGAATTCCATAGCATTTAAGTTTTCAAAAGTAACGTTTTCAAATGTAAAATTTACTCTACCTAAGCTATGGAATAAATGATTGTTTGACTAACTTTTTTTTTATAAAAAAATAAGTGCGCATTTGACCTCCATCTCACCTGATGGAAAGTGACGAAGAGGCCGAGGACTTAGCATGCACACCTAAATAATGCCTATTCACTCTCGCTTTGAAAAGGTCCAAGGTATAGCGTTCGGGGAACAAGCAAGTCTGCAGGCAGGGAATTCCACTCCCTAGCCGCTCGCCAAAAAATTGTGGAAGCGAAACGCGTTGCGCGACTCTGGGGAATATCCACAACATAGGGGTGGAAGACTGGTGCCTAAACTAGGTTGGTCCCACAGACCACATAAATACTAGTAGTTGGTCCTGTACTATAAGATCACCAGGTATCCACCACCGGATGTCAATGATATAATATTATGACGTTTTTATTAATTTATTAAAATTACTAAGGCAAATTGGCCTGATGACACAGAAAATACACTATTTATTTATTGTTTTGAGAAAAGGTAGTATGAGATATTAGTTTCAATAGAAAAGTTAGTAAGTTTAATAGGTAAGTAATTATATGTGAATGGAAGGAGTGTAAATTATGTATACCATTATACAGGGGTTATTAAGGGGTGTACAGTACGTGAGTGCGTGCACGTGCGTGTGTGTATGTGTGAGTTTGTGTTTGTATGCGTGTGTGTGTTTGTGTGTATGTGACGTGTTGCTGAGTGAGTTCAGCAGAAAAAAACTGTGTGTAACGTTTACTAGAGGGATCTATGAAAATAAATAAAGTTTCAGGATGTCTATCAAATTTATATACTTTTTTAGTATCCTCGTAGGATAGGTTTCGTAACCACAAAACCACGGCAACTTTTGTCCTACGTTCATAAGATGACATTGGGTAGATGTTAACATTTATAATTAAATAAATCACGTTTGAAGTGACGATTGGCTCCAAGACGTACATACAAAGACACATTTCATATATATTTCATGAATATACTGCACTGTTACAATTGCAATGCTAATCCGCGATGTTAGTTTAAAAATATCAACAAGTAACTACTGTGATTAAGTGTTTTATTGAATGTGAGGATTTTTCACCAACTTGACATTCTATTATTTTTTGTGATATTACTCCGCTAGTTTGTTATAATTATTAATAAAATGATCGAATACTTAAATTTTTTTTCTAAATGTTCGATCTTTGTATTGTAAGCAAGTACTATATTTGACAAAGGTTATTTCAATATAGCACGGGAGTATAGTAGTATAATAAGCAACTTTAAAAAAATATATGTTTACATTTTGTAGACATAGTACAATAAGAGCAAATAGAGCAACTCCCGCCTGTTCGGCACGTGAATGCTTACACTTCGTTCGGAGCGTAGGGTTGTTGCATTATTATTAATTGTACATACACATTTTAAAAATACTTTGTAAAAAATAAGGTGTTCATCATAGTTTTCTCGTGCTATATTGAAATAACCTTTATTTAAATGCAGTACGATTGTTATTTTTATATCAGCATCACGGATCGATATCTTGATTATGTAATATGATTATGAAATAACAATGAAGTGGTGAACAATTCTGAATTTGAGGCACTCTCACAAACATAACAGTAAACACGTCTATTATTTGATGTAATTTTTTTTACTCACCTAATAACCTCTCCACGTTTAAAGACCCGCGCTATGCAACGCGAGTTCACCGTGAGATTATGCGACAACCCTAAGCTAAATTATAATGTGACAACCCTAGTGACCGATACGTGTAGGCATTGAGAGCCGAACAGCCTCCGTTCCTTTCTACATAAGTTCTGATTATAGTGAAGAGCACTATAACGTGTGCAAGCACAGGGGCCTTCTAAGTTCAGGTTCTGACCCCGGATCAGCCAGTGTACAGGGTTGTCAGAGACTTCATTCGGCTAGTGATAGTGTTTTGGGTGAACCGCCCCGGGTGCACGTACATTACCCTCTTACCATTAGATACCGGAGCTGTAGGCACGCTCACTTCCCGTTGTGCATTGCATAACTAACGGTTGCCACTGCTCAGCCATTGACTCTATAGTCCCCTACCAAATTTCCTCTTTGGTGGCGGAGTTGTAGGCGCGCTTACTTCCGGACGCCGAAGCGTCTCTCTAGTTCCCAGTAACCTAGGCGGCTGGAGGGACCGGAGAATGTTTAGCTCATTCTCTAATAGCTCTCCGGGTTAGTACCGAAGATGTTAGTCGCAGTATCCTGCTAGCTAACTCAAGACCACTACTAATGCGCTAGCTGCAGAGGAGACAGACGCCCCGGCCACACACCACCGGAGCAGACGAACATATCCGTCTCTGCAGCTATCACAAGCCCCGGCGAGTCCATGCCCGCCTACGGGTCCGCCAGAGACGTTCGTGAAAGGCGTATCGCTAGCGGAGGGCTGGGCCCGGACGCCCGCCAACCTGGTCTTATATTGAGAGCCAAACAGACTTGAATTGGATACTTGTCTAATTACAGTAACACGCTAGTTTCTCCCTTTTAGAGACGTCAAATAGCGGTAAGTATACCTGGCGTGAGATACAGTTGTACTACAATGTTAGCAATACACAAACGTGTGTTTGTGGACAAACACACGTTCTTACATGTCCGGTAATCTGTTGATTGATTACGATTAGCACCTTGGTCGTAATTGTTTGGTTTGCTGGAACAATACTTGTTTAGAGCTTGTGAATAAGTTGTTTTGATAGTACTGCTAGTTGCTTAAATCTAAAAACTTGTCAATAACAATTTATGTATCATAGCCAGAAGAATTCAACATCTAAAATTTGAAGCCAAAAGTTCACGCTGGATTGCATTTTGGGGTCCTAATATTGTCACTTTATTTATTTATTTAATGCGATAGTGTAGACTAGATCACGGCAGAAAAAAAAACATCAGAAGTGCACACACACATAGACAACCACAAATTACATCCAAACTCATGAGAGAAATAAATATTTCTCCCGGCCCGGGAATCGAACCTGGGACCTCTGCATGGCAGTCCGGCACGGTAACCGTTCGACCACCGAGGCATGCCTTATGCTTCGATTATTATCACCGATGTCGCCAAAACTAACACATTCCTAATTTGACATACTACAAAATCTTGATGTTGATTGGTTGTAGTTTTAAATTTAAAAAGAAATAACGAATTGTTAATTAATATAAACTTTACCTCGTTGGAGTATCGTTGAAAGTTCAATGCCACCAATACCTATTATAACAAGTTACGTTTTGATATTAAATTGAAATTTCAATCAATGTGCTGCCATCTAGCGGGTTTTTGCTTAACGACGACGAATTGGAGTTATTAATTTAGTTTTCCAAAAAAGACGCCACCGTATTGCAGGGATAAGCGTTACTTTCGTTCCTAGCAACTTAAAAGTTATTTCGATGAACAGAAAATTGAAAATTGATTAAAATAAGGCTTTCCGGTGATATGAAATACCACCACGGGTAATAGTTTTGGTGCGACTATCAGTTTTGCACTCCAAAACAAAACAATAAGGCATTGACCTGTCAACAACAAAGGCATTTTTCTAGGATTTTAGAGAATTTGCACGAAAGACTAACACAACCATACCATACAGGAATAATATAAACAGTATGTACCTTGTGGAAATGACCCTTAAATTCAATGTACCTAGAGACTACTGTACCAGGCGACGAGGTGTGCCCTTGTTAGCAACTGTGCCTACACGCACTGAACAATACCGACACTCTCCCCTTCCCCGAGCGGCTTCTCTCCTCAACTCCGTACTCGCAGCAACGCCACAATATGATCTATTTGTGACAGGGATAGCAAGACTGTTGAATGAATGGAAAAGAGTGTTAGAGAGAAGACAGGATGGATTTTAGTTTATTAGTTAGTTATTTAATTTAAGTTTAGATTAGTAATATGTTTTGTTTAAGATTTTTACTTGTTTTTAATTTTAGTTTTTGTTAATTTTTCTTTTGTTTTATCTTTATCCTTATTTTTATATTGTTAAAATTAAATTGGCGTAACGCTATGGTCAATGAATACCGTCAGGTTACACCATTTATAATTGAATAAATAAATAAATTCAAAGCGAAAATGGCGGATA